GTCTGTCTCTCGGTGAGTCTCCCTGTCGGTCAGTCTGTCTCCCTGGCTGCCTCTGTGCCTTTCCCTGTCGTCGTTGTGTTTGTCAGGTATGAGACTTACTGAAACAGTACCGATACACGAGGAGAAAAATGTCACTCAGATTCTGAGATTCTCTCAGGCTGGAAATCACTCCCAGGGAGAGCAGGTACCTGATCCAGGGCAGAAAGAGAGAGTCGGTCAGTTCCTAGTCTTGAATCCAAGCCACCCAGCGGGACCGCGCGCCGTCTCAGATCGCACCCTCACTCTGCCTTGATCGGGGCTGGTCTGACACCACCGCAGTGTGGGGGGCTCTGGTGAAAGTTGGGGAGCAGGTCAGACCCTGATCTCGCCCACCCGCGCTTGACTGGCAGAGTTCCAGCTTATTCTCTGGCGGGTGCGAAGCTCCTCTTCACCGCCAGGTGAGCTGAGCCGCTCAGGAATGGCTAAGGAGCCTGAGCTCCTAATTTGCCTGAGCTACCAAAACGACTTCAAGCTTCCGAAGTTTTTGCTTCGCTCTGTGTTGGTGCGATGGGTGCAATTGGGCGGGGCGCTGGCTCTGTGGCTCAGGACCTGAGCCTGTGGCTGGGAGGTTGCCGGTTCGAATCCCGCGGCCCGGCAGAGGAATCCTACCCCTTGGGGCCCCCTGAGCGAGGCCCTTCACCCCAGCTGCTCCAGGGGCGCTGTATAAATGACCGACCCTGCGCTCTGACCCCAAGCTTCTCTCTCCCTGTCTGTGTGTCTCCTGGAGAGCAGGCTGGGGTCTGAGAGAAGACACATTCCTCAGGCGGGACACTGTATAGGGCTTAATAAAAAAACAACATTAAAGAGGTTGGAGTAACTGCTTATTCTACTCTCCCTGTGAACTCCCCTTCGGCCGCTGATCTCGCCCCACCGCGACTCAGCCCAGGCACAGCGCGTGCGTCACCCCTGTCTGCTGTCAGTCTGTCGGTATGGAGAATTCGGCAGCGAGGAACCTGGAGACTCTTCGCAAGGAGCGAGGAATTAAAGATTTGGGTTTTTTTTTTTTGCAACCATTCCTTGACGATTATTGGCGTTTACAAAACTGCATTTGCGATCGGCGGGGCCACGTTTGAGACTGTAAGAGCACACTGCCTGTACGTGCGAGTGCCCGGAGACTGCAGGTTAATCCATACGTCATTATCGAAACCACCGGGACTTACAACGATAGCGCTTCGAGTTTGTCTGACGAGGGTAGACTTTAACGCTGACACCCCTGCGCTGTTAGGCTGAAGCATGTGCCTCACGGCTTACACTAATAATAGCTTTTACGAGGTTTAAAAATGGATTTCAATTTTCTTTGTTTTGGTTTTTTTTGGGGGGGATGTGGCACCTGTCGTAACACTTTGCAACAAATCACTTTCACGAGTTGCTAACGTCTGTATGTCGACACATCTAGGAGTTGAGCGTCTGTGAACGCTGACAATGAATGAGAAATTGTGGTAATGAGAAATTCCTGTTTTTATTATGTGATGGATGCACCCGGACTGTCAATCTGAAGTTACTCTTTTTGCAACAAACCTTGCTATGTTGTTAAAAACTAAAATCTTGGGATCCTTCCTAAAAAGAGCTGGAAAAAAGTACCCGCCTTGATTGGCTCTTGACGAACAAATGATGGTTCTTATTTGTAAACATTCATAAACAAACACGTCACGGTCTCTACTGGGTTTGTAATGCTGTGCTGTCGTGTCGACATACAGACATTAGCAACTCGTGGAAGTGATGCGTCATCTAGGAATTGAGCGTCTATGAACGCTGACAATGAATGAGAAATTGTGGTAATGAGAAATTCCTGTTTTTATTATGTGATGGATGCACCCGGACTGTAAATTTGAAACTTAAAAATAAACAGAGTTTAACGACAGGAAATTGACTCCAGTTGTCAGATCACGTATACGCATACCTTAGCTTTGTGCGTATACAGTATACAGTTTGTAATGCTGTATACGTGATCGGGACTGTGCCATAATCTTCTGATGTCATAATCCGTGCGATGATGTCGTGCTGAGCTCTTCTGATGACGTCACTGCTGTCTACCTTTTTCCTCCCGGAAGGGTGTCACCTACCCAGCATGCCATGGGATCTGGAGCAAGTGGGCCCCACCCCTGGAGAGAAGCCGACTGGCTACAACGGCGTTCTGCGGTGAGGGACTCGACCACGAAAAAGTCGCGTTCGCTGCGCTGGGAAGTTCATCCTCCTTACTGTAACCGGCATGCCCCTGTGTCTCGAGTGGTGCTGTCCCTGTTCTCTCTAGGTCTGTTAGGTCGAAGGTCAGATTCTTGCTCTCTATATGGGAACGCGGTTTCTGTTGAGACCGTGGATGTCTACGGCTGGGAGTTGTCCACCATGAGGCAGAGGTGGGGAAGGCTGGGGTTCTTCTACAAAGGTGAAAATTGACTCCTTGAAC